CAGCCGGACCCCTGGACGTCCAGAAGGAGCCCGTCAGGACGTCCCAGCCACCCGGCCACGGCCAGCACTCAGCACGGCGGCAGTCCGCCGGGTGGACGTCCGCCCCCTGCCCTCCTCGACGGTCCAGGCCTGTTCATTGCCGGGCAGAGCTGCCGCCTCCAGCCCTGCCCGGCCACCGGGTTTGCAGCGCTCCAAGTCGGACCTGAGTGAGCGCTTCTCGAGGGCCACTGCTGACCTGGAGCGCTTCTTTAACTTCTGTGGGCTGGACCCCGAGGAGGCCCGTGGTCTGGGCGTGGCCCACCTGGCACGAGCCAACTCGGACATCATGTCCCTGGCCGGGCCCAGTGCTGGGCCGGGCAGCTCCGAGGGGGGCTGCTCCCGCCGCAGCTCTGCCACTGCCGAAGACCGGGTCCGGGAGCGCGTGCCCTATGGGGTGTCGGTGGTGGAGCGCAATGCTCGTGTGATCAAGTGGCTGTATGGCCTGCGGCAGGCCCGGGAGACCCCTGCGGTCGAGTGCTAGATCTCTGGACGGTTGCCTTTGTAGAGGTGCAGTTGGCCCTTGACCGCTCCTGGATGCATTTCGGGCTTCTGTTGAACTTGACTCAGAGGCTGGACCAGCATGCACCTGGCAGGACTCTCTCTTGGAGAGGGTTGCCTCTTGACCTTGGTCCATCCCCACCCTGTGCCACCAGCCCTTCACATACAAGTTTTTTGACATGTGTGTTCTCCTGCTTGGTTCCTCTCCCGGAGCAGAATTTGGGGCATGTAGCCCTCCTCATTGAGAATGAGTGATCCCAGATCTCTCTGCGTCTGTCTACCTGTCATTTCCTCCTTCCCTCCTTGGCTTCTGTCATTTGCTGACTTCCTTGTCCTTTCCTTGTTCCCTGGGAACTCACCTGGGGCAGGGGTGGGGAGAAGTGGCCTTTCCAGGAGGTGCTTGGCCTAAGGGGATAGACTACAGGAGGGACTGGCTTGGAGTCGGCAGGCTCTGACTTCCCTCCCCGTGGTTAATAAACACAGATGCTTGTTTCTCAAGAGCCAAGTCCTTGGACTCTTCTGTAATCCCAGGGGGAGGGTGTGGGGAGGGCAGGCTTGGGTGGGGTGGGCCTTCCAACGCAATCCCTGTAAAGCCGAGGCTCTGCTGGTATGAGAGGTCAGCCACTCAGCCCCCTTGCCTGAGACCACCCTGCAGCAGTCCTCATAACTCCTCTGGAAGACTGGCAGGCTGTCAGCCGTTTTATAATTGAAGCAGACAGTGAGTCTCTATGGGGTTGCTGCAGGAGTCTTCCTGCTTGAGCAGGGCCTGCGGAGAATGGTTGACCAGGGTGCCTGGACCTTCACTTTTCTATCCTCTGGAACCTCTGTATTCTATCCTCTCCTACCTCCTGCCCATTTCCTTTGGAACTGGGAAGCTCAGAGAGTCACACGTTGAACTTGAAATCACCCAGGCCATAGAGGGGACCTTGAAAGGGTTCTTGGATAATTGGATGGGGACCACAAAAGTCAAGGGCTGGGGACTCTGGACCAATCTCTGCCTGGACTCAGTGGGAGAGTGGGACGGCACAGTGTTCCTGGGGTTGGCCCACCACTGTTGGGTTCTGGGACCTTCGTGCTAGGGTTGGAAAGGGGAAGAGGGGCTGACATTGGGCCTTGATGTCTTAGTGCCCCTCTATCTCCCACCAGATTAGTTGCTCCTGGAATTGTCCTGGTTGGAACAGCCAGGACTAGGGCTTGGTCCTGACACATGAAAGGTGAAAGGCAGGGGTGGCCTCTGGCCCTCCGCCCCTTCCTCCCACCCTGGGGGCAGTGGGGAGGGGCTGGTTGGCTCTTCCTCTCCTGCTGGCTGGTTGGGCTGTGGAGCTCAGAAACAGGAAGCTCTGATGGACACTGGTGACAGGTTTGATGTAGGTTTTATTTTAAGTATAGAGAAAATATTTCCATCAGTCTGTTGACAAGCATCCGGGTCAGCCTGGCTGTCTGTCTGTCTGTCTGACAGTGCACAGCCAGTCCCTAGAGGCATTGGCTGGACTTGGGATTGGGGAAGGAAGGAGAAATTGGGTTGTAAAAGATAATGATGTGTCCCAGCTTATGAGACTGGAGCCCACCTCCGCCTGTTGCAGATGGGGAGACTGTGGCACGGGGAGGGCAAAGACCCACTCCCAGATACCCAGCAGATTTGACAGGATCAGGCTGGCCTCCTGCGTCCCCATTCTAAAGGAAGCGATCCAGTCAGGGAGGATGACCCTGGCAGGATCTGCAGAAGGGATGGCCCTTGGGATGCAAAGACTCCTCCTCCAGTGGGTCCTGCTGTGATACTGTGCTAAGCTTTGCCCCTTGAGGTGAACTGCCAGCTTGTTTCCCCCAAAGCGAAGAAGACAAGTGCATTTTACATGTGAAGAAACTGAGGTTTGGACAATAAGACTGGTGGGTTGTGGGGAGACCTCTTGTTTCTGAAGTTGTTTGTGACAGGCTTGGGCCCCTCACACCCATCCTGTCATTGAATCTCATGTGACCTTTTCGGGGTTAGGAGTATTGTCTTCCAACAGGACAGCCTAAGGTCTTGCCAGGGTATGCTGGGCACTCTGCAGCTGGCAGCACAGGGATCCCTGATTCTCTTGACACAGTCCTTTCTGACCTCTTGACTGAGCAGCTACTGGATGTCCAACAGCGAACAAGACAGACATGGTCCCTGTCCTGGTATCATGAAGAAGTTGGGTACCTCACCTCCTACTCACGTAACTAGTCCCATAGTGCAAAAGTGGGGCATTCAGGGACTAATGACCCTAAGACCAGAGCTGGGCCAGAAGAAGACTTAGAGGCTGCCTGGGAAGAAAGTAGGGAAGGAGTTTTGGAGTGCGGAAAGCCGCTTGCCTGAGCTCTCACTTCCCTCCACAGGATGCTGGAACCTGCTGGCCTTCAGTCTATCCCCTCACCCCCAGCTTGCATGCCCCGGGGCTCTGCGGAACAGCCCCTCTATTGTTCCATCTCAGGATGCCGTGTGAGCTGCTTTTCAGCTCTGAGGGCTGCCTGCAGCTGCTCCCTGTCTCCAGGGGCTGCTCGACCTGGTAGCAGGTCCCCCAGGCTGGACAGCCCCAGCTGCCTAGCCCCTAATTACGCCGAGATGAGACCTGCTCCCCAATCTATTTCCCACCAACTAATTATATACACGTGGGCTGGAAGAAGGGCTGCCTGACTGCTCATTTCTGTCACGATGGTATGATTGGCTCCTAGGAACCGCCCTCTCCATCTGCTCGGCCTCAGTTTGCCCTTTTGTTAGAGGCTGGGATACAGCTAGAAAGGAAGGGGCTGAGGAATTAGGCTGGGGGTTCCCTGACTCTGGGATCTTGGGGTGGGACACTGTCCCACCTGCCGCTGGACAGACACGCATGTGGAAAGCCTTGAAATTCATTCACACTTAAACACCCTGTCCAGGAGTTGTTTTTTTTTTTTTTAACCTTAAATTATTTTTAATATTATTTTTCAGATACTGCATTATTAAAGAAAATGTTGAACATACAGAAAAGTTAAAAGAATGGTGCAGGAAACATATATTCATGACCTAGGTTAACAATTGTTAAAATTTCGCTCTGTTTGCTCTATCTGGACCTGTCTACTAGTCTATTCATTTCTCTAGGCATTCATTAGGGAACTCTGGTGGCCTTATTGTAAGGAGTTGAGCTGCCAACACAAAGGCAAGTGGTTTGAATCTGCCAGCTGCTCCTCAGGAGAGAAATGGACAGTCTCTTCCTGTGTGATTTACTGCCTCTAAAAACCCGCTGGAAGGTCAGTTCTGAATTGGTTCCAACTTATTGGCATCATCAACAACAACAACTACTCATTGATGCAACCTATTTGTTTTAGCTTTTCAAAGTAAATTGCAGCTGTTTGTATACATCTCCTTTAAACACTCTGTTGTTGTTATGTACCATTCAGTTGCCTGCGACCAGTAGCTCTGAACCCTTCCCTGTCCTGAGCCAGTCTTCACTAATTCCGACACACCGACTGCCATTGCCCCAGTTACTGCATCAATCCATCTCATCCGGGGTCTTCCTCTCCTGCGCTGCCCCTCCACCCTTCCAAGCATCATATCCTTCACCAAGGACTGGTCTCCCTTGGCCATGTGCCCAAAGTATGTTAGACAAAGCTTCAAAGTCCCAGCCTCCAAGGAGAAATTTGGTTTCATCCGCTCCAAGACAGACCTATTCTTGGCAGTCCATGGTATGTTCAAGACTCTTCTCCAGCATCACAACTCCAAAGCATCGATATTTCTTCTTTCATCCCTAGTCATTGTCCAGCTCTCTGAAGCATAACAAATAATTGCAGAGACCATGGTCTGGATCATGCACACCTTAGTCTCTAGACTGACATCGTTGCTTTTCAGAACTCTGGAGAGGTCCCTGACAGCAATTTGTCTTTTGATATGTATTATATTACCCAGTGGCCAATGTTTGCTGACTTTGTGGATTTTTTTTTTAGATGAAATTTGCAGAGTGGTATTCTCAGATTTAATGGTATCATTTGGTTAGTTTAGACAAATACATGTTGTTAATGTCATAAAGTAGATTTTGAGTAGTGATCCCTGTTGATCAAGTGGAAATTTCCCACAGGTCTTGCCTGTAAACTACAGATGTCTTTCTTTGGCAGAGCTGATAGGAGGATTCGAACTACGTCTTTTCAGTTAGCAGTCAAGTTTGCACCACCAGGATACAGAACATTGTCACCACCCCAGGAAGTATTTTCCTATTTCTTCTTTGCCAATTCCTGCCCTCTGCCCCATGGAGCTGTCTTTGTCTGTCTAGGAAGCAGTTGTCAGAACAGAGCAAGGAAACCCTGCATAGTTAAAAATCAGGAAAGGAGTGCGTCAGGGATGCATCCTGTCTCCATACCTTTTCAATCTGTCTGTGGAACATTCGGGAGGCTAGACTTTATGAGGAGGAATCACATCAGGTTTAGAGGAAGATTCATCAACAACTTACATTGTGCACATGACACAACCTTGCTTGCTGAAACCAAGGAGAATCTGAAACGTTTGCTGCAGAAAGTCAAGGACTGCAGTCTTCAATATGGATTGAAGCTCATTATTAAGAAAACATTCTCCTTGCTGGGCCGATTGGCAGCACCACAATAGATGGAGATTGAGATGGTTTACAGTTTCAGCTGTTTGGTTCCACAATCAATCAACACTCCTGGCACCAGCAGTTATGAAATAAAAAGACAAACGGTGTTACAGAAATCTGCTGTTAGGGACCTCTCCAGAGGGCTGAAGAGCAATGATATCAGTCTAGGAATTAAGATATTTCTGATCCAGGCCATGTTCTTCACAATTACTTGCTATGTATCAGAGAGTTGAACAGTGACCAAAGATGACAGAAGAAGAATTGATGCCTTTGAGTTGTGGTGCTGGAGAAGAGT